GAAGACTGTAGTTTCCAGCTACCACCAAATGACAGTTAGGCACCCAGGCTTTCCAAGGGGACAGAGTAAAGAGATGTTGGTCTGAGATGATGTGGGGAAGATGAGCCTCACGTTGGAAGAGTTTCTGAGTGTTAAATCAAAACACCAGACCAGTGGCTGTTGACTCCAACTCATGGTGACCCCGTCTGTGTCAGAGTAGAATTGTGCTCTGTGGAATTTCTGATTTTTCAGAAGTACATCACCAGGCCTTTCCTCCAAGGTGCCTCCGAGTGGATTTGAACCTCTAAGCTTTTGGTTAGTAGCCAATTTTAACCTCATGGACTAAACAGCATCTCCCAAAATGGTAACTCACCCTTTTGTTGCAGCCTGCTGCCAAATGCTGGAGGTTCTCCTGAACTTGCTGATCCTGGCCTGCAGTTCTGTATCTTACAGTTCCACCGGGGGCTACACGGGCATCACCAGCCTGGGGGGCATTTACTACTACCAGTTCGGAGGGGCTTACAGTGGTTTTGATGGTGCCGACGGGGAGAAAGCCCAGCGGCTGGATGTCCAGTTCTACCAGCTGAAGCTGCCCGCAGTCACTGCGGCCATGGCCTACAGCGGTGCCCTCATGGCCTTCGGCTGCCTCCTTATCTCCATGGGCGTCCTGCGGGTCCCGTGGCATTGCCCGCTGTGCCTGGTGATTGAAGGCTTGGTGGATGTGCTTATTGCTGTGGCGTACATCCCAGCCATCTATTTCTATTTCCACCACCTCTCTGCTGCCTATGACTCTCCTGTGTGTAAACAGAGGGAAGCACTGTACCAAAGCAAGGGCTACAGTGGCTTCAGCTGCAGTTTCCATGGGGGAGATATAGGAGCTGGCATCTTTGCTGCCCTGGGCATTGTGGTCTTTGCTCTCGGGGCCATCCTGGCCATCAGGGGTTACCGAAAAGTCAGGAAACTGAAAGAAAAGCCAGCAGAAATGTTTGCGTTTTAAGCTTTTAAAATGCTCTGCCAGTGTAAGTGACGGAAGGGACTCTGAGCTACTCTCTTGCACAAGAGTGCTGAGTGGTGGAACGTGCCAATACTTGAGAAGTAACAAGGCCACTTTGGCACGGTGGGTCGCCTTCTCCGGTTTCTGGAGTGTTCAGTGAGTGAATGATCACAGTTACAGAACCTAGAGCCCAAGACCCACAGGGCACAGGCATGTGCTGCAGCAAAGGCAATTCCGGATTAAACAAAGGAAAGAACCAAGTGAATGTGAAGAACCTTATTTCAAAGTTTATGACAAGCCACACAGATAGAAGACAACATATTGGCCTAAACTTTTCTAAATATTGTTGCCTTCAGCAGATTAGCCCATGATTTTTTTCCAGACTGAACTCTCCATTTCTTCTGCTGCCTTAATGTTCTGGCTGGACGGGGTGAGGGTTTCTGGGCAGAATGCGCCTGTGAAATTTAAACTGGAGGAAGGTGTGGGCCAAGGAAAGAGGAACCAGATTAATTCACTGAGTTGCAAAGAAGCTATTCTACAAGTCCCTTACAATTGCCTTGAAAGCTCAGCAAGTGCTTTGTACCCCTTGTAAATGTGCTGTTGTCTGGAGAATCAAACCCAGCATCTGGAATTCAGGATCCATCCAGAATAAAAGAATAGCAAGCTGTTAACGTTTGGGCAGGCAATATCATGGGTTCTCACTGCACACGCAACGATGACAAACAGAACATTAAACATTATTTTTGGTAAAAATAAATATATCCTTTGCTTTATGTGCATCTAGTAAAAGTCCAGAGAAATTTTAATTTGGAGGTGATGGTTCTCGTTATAATAAGTTTATATTATTATTTTTTTAAATACAGACAACTTATCACATTTAAAGGGTGAGTTCTATTTAGAAAAAGAAATACATATATGTGCTTGTATATGATTAGAAAATTTCTCAAAGAATCAAAGGTGGTTGTTAGGTGCCACTGAATCGATTCTGACTTGTAACGACCCTTTGGAACAGAGAACTGCCCCACAGGTTTTGTAGGCTGTGATCTTCACAGAGCAGATCTCCTGGTCTTTCTCCCACAGAGCTGCTGGTGGGTCTGAACCACCAACCTATTACTTAGCAGCTGAGTGCTTAACCACTGTGCCACTAGGGTTCTTTGGAGAAAATACATAAGTATTACTAGTAGTTGCCTCTGAAGAAGAACTCTGGTGGCATAGTGCCTAAGGCACTTGACTGCTAACCAGAAGGCTGGTGGTTCAAACCCTCCAGCCACTCCTCGGAAGGAAGGTTGGGCAATCTACTTGCACAGTGATACCGCCTTGGAAACTCAAGGAGGTGTCGCTAGGAGTCGGGATCAACTTGATGGTGATGAGTTTGGTTTTTGCCTCTGAAGAGCTTTTTCATTTTATGTATGGCTTGACTGTGCATGTATTACTTTTATTTTAGAAAATAAAAACTTCGATTGATCTCCTCAGTTTTTTCAGGACCACAGTTACAATGCAAAGGCAGAAGCAGATGTAGAATTAGGTGGAGTATTACATGAGCAGCCACAAATGCAGCCTCACCAGAAATAAGCTGTTGAAGTCACAAGTCCCTTTTGTTTCAGTCCCCACTTGACCCTGCAGAACCCTCTGCCGTCTTTGTGAAGCCTTGTATCCTTCTCAGAAGTGCTCTTTGGTAGCCAGTCGTCATCGAGTTGAATCTGACAGATGGTGACCTCAGGTGTCAGAACAGAACTGTGTCACACGGACTTCAATGGCTGATTGTTCAGAAGTAGATCAGCAGGCCTTTCTTCCAGGGCCAGCTCCCATGGTAGCTCTTTTGCTTTTTTGCTCATGCATGTACTAACAACGTGCTTGGGAATACTTGGGCCTGTTTGCTGTTGATAGCCAGGCCAGGCCAGGCCCTTGGCAGGTAGCTTCGACAATATTCAGTGGTCATATCACCAACATACCCAGTATCACCTGACCTGGCAGAAGAGCAATATGCTCCCAGATGCTGGAGTCAGTGGAATTGCTTCTTGTTTCCCTTCAGGGATGAGATTAATTTGTGTGCTACACCCTACAGGAAACAGAATGGTGTTGGGGTCAGTCCTCTCACTCTGCTGGAGGAAGAGAATGGCCAGTAGCACACACTGCCAGGTGGAGAGTGGGCAGTTTGGGTCTGATGTTATTTTCCATTACAGGAATGTAGTTTCTCAAGTCCCAGAGCCCTTGACTATTACGTCCCATGGACCTCTGAGGAATTTGTGTGGGCCCAGTACAAGACAGGATCAGCAAGCCCAGCAGCTGTTGACAAAGAACTCAGAGATGCTGGTCTTTGACTGCCCGGTTTATAAACATGGCGGGGCTCAGTATGACCCTCTAGTGTATTACAGGGTTTTCCTGCTTTATGGGAAACCACACTTTTCTTCATAAATTGGTCCCATTTCTTCTAAAATCTCTCACCAGTCCCTTCCATTTTATAAATGCTACTGAGTATAACCATCTATTTGTATAACATTTTATGATTTTTAAAAACATTTTCACATACTGGCTCTTATTTGAGACTCATCACAGCCTTGTGGGATGGACAGACAGGCATTATCTTCACTTATCAGACAGAGTCTAAGGCTTAGAAAGATTGAATGACTTGGCAAGGTCACATAGCAGTAAAGAACAAGGACTTGACCTTGTTCAATGTCAGGCTTTTCTCCTGGTTCTCATTTCTGAACCCCAAGAGATTGAAGATCTTCATTCAGAAGTACACCTAAGAGTCTGGGGCTTTGGTCAGTAACAAATGAAGGATGACCTTGGGCAAGGGCACATTAAGTGTGTTCACCTGTTGGCTCCTGCTGCCTCATGGCAAATTCTTTAAACTTCTAAGAAACTCTAAAGTGAGCATCAGCAGTTCCCATCAGGATTCTGGTTGAATAAAGGGGTTCGTCCACACAATGGAGTTGGAGGCTGCATAACAAAGAATGTGGATGCTTTTTATTTTGAAATATAGATTCATAGGAAATTGTAGAAACAGTACAAAGAGGTTGTATGTGTTACCCAGTTTTCAAACCTAAATAGAACAATATCAAAACCAGGAAATTGACGTGGACACAATCTAGCTGATTCACAATTGACATGTTTGACATGCCCTGTGTTGTGCTTGTACATGTTCGGTTTTATCATGTTCAGTTTTATCATGTGAAGATTTGCCTAGCATAGTGCCTAAGGCACTTGACTGCTAACCAGAAGGCTGGTGGCTCAAACCCCCCAGCCACTCCTTGGAAGGAAGGTTGGGCAATCTACTTCCATAGTGATACTGCCTTGGAAACCCAAGGAGGGGTCGCTAGGAGTCGGGTCCTACTCGACCGCACATAACAACGACTGCCACAATCTATACAGCTGTTCTCTGACCACAAGGCTCCCTTGTGCTCGCCCTTCACAGTCACACTCATCCCCTTCTGCCCTCCTACTGCACCCCTAGCAAGCACCAATCGTTCTCCAGCTCCATAATGTTGTCATTTCAAATTTGTTACACAAATAGAAGCATGTAATATGTACCCTTTTGAGACTAGCTTTGTTCACTCATCATAATTCCCTTGAGTTTTATTAGTATTTCATTCCTTTTTACTGCTGTAGTATTCCATGGTTTGGATGTGCCATTGTTTAATCATTCACCCACTGAAGGACATGTGGGTTGTTTCCAATATTTGACTATTATAAATAAAGCTGCTATGACCATTCATGTACATGGTTTTGTGTGGATGTAAGTTTTGATTTCTTTAGGGTAAATGCCTAAGTACATGGTTACTGGGCTGCATGGTAAGTGTACCTTTAGCTTTTGAAGAAAACTGCCAAACTTTCCAGAGTGGCATTTTGATTTTTCAAGCGTGAGTATTTTTGAAAAAGACGGGGAAAGACCAACTAAGGATGTTAAAATTGAATTGGATCATGACCTCAAAATGAAGTCACCAGGAGGTGTTTCTCTAGTTCTACTCAGAGTCTTCCTGGGTGAGTGCTGTCAGTGTTAAGTCCAGAATCTCTCTCCTCCTAGGTGTGGTACAGATACTGGAGGTGATGCTGAATGCGATGGTTCTCGTGTGTATTGTTGCCTCTTACTTTGTCCTTGCCGGATTCAGTGCCAGCATCACCAGAGGCGGCAGCTTTGGGAACATCTATCACTCACCGTTCGAGGGCACCGAGCTGGAGCAGGTTCGGCAGCTGGACCAGCAGTACACGGTCCTCCGGGCACCCCTCATATATGGGGGCGTGGCTGTTTCTCTGGGGCTGGGTGTCCTTACTTTGGGAGTTCTACTCCAAGGAGCCAAGAGCCTAACCACACTGCCTGGGAAGTGGCTCCTTATAGAGGCTGCCTTCAGCCTCCTCGCGGCACTGGGCTACTGCACGGGCACTGGCGTTTACCTCCATGGAGCTCTGCAGATCAACGCCACTGACACCTGCAAAACCAGAGAGAGGCTCTATGCCCGCAGGGGTCTCACCTGGATGAACTGCCAGCTGGCAGGCACAGATGGAGCAGCAGCCACTTTTGCTTGTCTTCTTGTGATTACATATGGTGCCAGCGTGGTGTTGGCCCTACGGAGCTACCGAGAACAGAAGCACTACAAAGACAGCCGAGAACAGCCCAGAAATTACAGTGACCCACCAGAGTACCTGTGGTCTGGGACACTTTGAAGAGATCTTCTGGAACCTTAATGTCAATGCTTCATTGTTGCTCTCAAAAACCCTGTTCCTTTGAAACTGCATATTAGACACTTTTTTAAACATTACTTTTGCATACTTGATTTCATAAATGCTCCTTTTGGAACCAATGCAAAGCTAACTGGTTCTCTTATTTTTCTGCTGTGAAAGGAGATCAATAAATCCTTGTTGGCTAACTGATGAAAGTTTGGAAAATATCTCCAACAATGGGCAATATCAGAAGTGTGGATACACCCTTACAGTACTGCTCTCTTACCGAATAGTAATGTGACAATGGGAACACCTAGCCAGAGAAATTCTGAACGACCAGAGGGTACCAGGTCCAGTGTTACACAAGCATCTTACCTGTCATAATTATTTAAAGTCATCAAAAGAAACACCATTACCCACCCACCCCACCCCAATTATTTCGTCCCAGGGGAAGGATTTTAAAGCAATTGTATGATCTGAGTTCTAAACAAGTAATTGTATTCTGACTCACCTAGGGAAAACTATTCTGCCCATAAATAACATCAGTGTACTGGGCTGCTTGGGTCCCAAGGAGCTATTCCTTCTGTTTGAGGCGGTAGGTAACATTTCTGATTCACTGAGATGGTTTTTAGCATGCACGTTCATGCCCAGGATTCCTCTGTTGGGGCTGAGAAAAAAATGTTTGTTTTTGTTTCTGCCAGCCATTCAAGTCAGTTAGTTTTTTGTAGCAAGTCATCCAACTGAAATTCATTGTCCTGAAATAGTTTTCTTAAATATGAGGCTTTTGAATATTATGAAGTTCATAAACTTGTCTTAAATGTGTTATTCAACTGATTTCAAAGATAAAGCAGTTTGTTTTACTAAACTATCAAAGCTTACTGGAGGCTTTTCTGCCTTCCCCTACAGTGCCATGTATAGACTACGATGTCAAAAGTAAATCGTAATTTCTCATTATCCTCAATTGCTTTCATAATGTAACGGGATCACCAACAATGAACCTTAAAAATAAAGTTCCTTCGATAATTTTAATAATAAGTGTTTTATATCTCTCCTTATACTTTATAACTAACCTCAAATATTAGTTCATGTCAGATAGAAACTAGAAATATACATTATTATTAGTTTATTTCCCCCCAACTGGCCTGCTTTTCAATAGCTAATTCTTACAGAACCTATTCGAGACAAAGAATGAAAACTAAATCTCATACAGAAATGGAGAAATATATAGATTACATGTTCACAAAACAGTAAAGCGAGGAGGCGGGGCAAGATGGCGGACTAGGCAGAAGGATTGCACAGACCCTCTTCAACAAAGAAAAGGGAAACCAATAAATACAGACACAGAAGATAATCTTGG